GTTGTGGCAGGGACCTGTAGTCCCAGCTACTTGGGAGGCTGAGGCAAGAGAATCACTTAAGCCCAGGAGTTGGAGGTTGCTGTGAGGCCACAGCACTCTACCCAGGGCAACGGCATAAGGCTCTGTCTCAAAAAAAAAAAAAAAAAGAAAGAAAAAAGAAAAAGAATCCAGTCCTACATAAAAGTTTTGTTATTTATTTTTAAGTTGACACTTTAAACCAACTCTTGGTCAGGCCAGGTGGCTCACACCGATAATCCTAAGCACTCTCTGAGGCCAAGTCAAGTAGACTGCCTGAGTTCCCAAGTTTGAGACCAGCCTGAGCCAGAGCGAGACCACATCTCTAAAAATAGCCAGGTGTTGTGGCGGGCACTTGTAATCCCAGCTGCTTGGGAGGCTGAGGCAAGAGGAGTTCAATTTCAGTCTCACTGCTCTATTTGCCATTGTACAAAGTGAGAATACCAACCCCCACCCCCCAGGTCAACAAAAATCCCCAAAAGAAGGCTTGGTACCCGTAGCATAGTGGTTATGGCACCAGCCACATACACCGAAGTTGGCAGGTTAGAACCCAGCCCAGGCAGCTAACCAACAATGACAACCGCAACAAATAATAGCTGGGCATTGTAGTGGGCACCTGTGGTCCCAGCTGCTTGGGAGGCTGAGGTAAGACAATCGATTAAGCCAAGGAGTTTGAGGTTGCTGTGATGTGACACCACAGCACTCTACTAAGGGCAAAAAAAAAAAAAAAAAAAAATCCCAAAAAGAAATCAAGAAGTTCCCAAAGCGTAACTGACATTTTCTTCTCCTTCAGACAGATGTTCTTTGTATTTCCCGGATAATTTACATTCTACAAAAGGCAAAAAAAAAAAAAAAAAAAATCCCAAAAAGAAGTCAAGAAGTTCCCAAAGCGTAACTGACATTTTCTTCTCCTTCAGACAGATGTTCTTTGTATTTCCCGGATAATTTACATTTCATTTGTATTGAGCCATGAATTAGTACAAATTAATTTTATTTGAAGAATAACATACAATAAATTGTGTCATACAAGCTTATTGTAACCTCTGAACACCAGTGTTTAAGGTTGTTGTGAGCTAAGATGCCACGTTACTCTACCAAGGGTGACAGAGCAAGACTTAAAAAAAAAAAAAAAAAAAAAGCCACTCTTAGAATCTGGCTAGGATATATGCCAGAAAAGGAGCCACGAGATAAGACATCTCAGGCTTTCTTCCGAGCACAGATGCCTCCACCATAAACCAAAAGAACAATGAATCTAGCCTGACAACAAACACTTACATCTTCAGTCCAGTCTTCTGCTGTCCACTCTTCTACAGAATTTTTCCAGGCCCCTGTTGGGAAATGACAACAATCAAAGTTTATAACACAGGTCAAATACCGTCAGAGTCTTCTTTATATAATGAAGAAAACAGTTTCATACACCCCATTTATAATTTAGTTTATAAATCCAAGAAATGAGGTTCTTTCATTCCTAATGAAATCAGAATGATTTCACCTGCAACTTATATAGTACTACATACTCAAATCAATACCTCAAACTGCTTTTGCTCCAACGTACATCATATCCAAACAATTCTGCTGAGTGAAAAAGTATTGGCACAATATACTTACATTTAAAACAAGGTTAATTTTAAAACAAAACAAATTTCAGTTAAAGGCAAATTTGCCTTACACCCATTTATACACGGATTGCAGAATTACAAAATTTAGAAAAGCATCCTTTTTATTAAATACTACCTCTGCTACATGGTTGCCTAGCAGGTCTTCCAATAAAGTTTATTATATTAGGTTGGTTGCTGTAAATTCAGAGGCATGGGTACAGGGGATATACACTTAAGTGCTTTAAAGAAAAGTATTGGTATTCAAAAATACTAACTTAGTATGTCCAGATTCTATTAAAATACAACTTTATAGCATGCTTAAAGATACATGCCCACAAAAAATGGTTTTAAAGACCTTAAGCATAACCACACTCAGAAACTAGGATTCTCAATGTGTTTTCAGTTGCACCTCATATTCCTTGGTTTTCCCTCTATGCACACTAACTTTTGGAGAGAAATTCTACTGAATTCCATTTCTCTCCAAAAGTTAGTGTGCATACAGGGAAAAAAAGGAATGAAGGCCCACTCTTAAGAAAAAAGAAGCCAGGTGACCAGCTCTAACTTCCCTGGAATCATGTTAACTTAATAACCACCTTGCTCGTAACTAAAACAATGATCGTTTTGTATGAAAAGAGTCTTTTCCTATGGAATGTATGTAACTGCATGTCCTTGATTTAGAACTGAGACATGTAGTTACAGTAAAATGTTATAGAAATTAAATGAATATATAGGTATAAAACAGATTTTTTTTTTTAAAAAAACAGATGTTTCAAAACTGAAAATGTTTCCTGTTGCAAGAGAAACCAACACTTAGAATTAAAAACTTAATCTATTACTTTGAACCACAGGAGGTACAGGCTGTAGGAAGGAAAACCATGGACAGGCACTAGAGGTCCCAGATTGTCTCCCTGCTTCTTCTGTGCCTTTTGATTGCTAGTAGCCTTATTAGTAAAACTGGATATTAAGAAAGATTTTAATATTTGAATTAATAATCTTTATATGTTGGCTCACTCATCATACCTTTAAACAGTTTCCATAATTTCTCCAAAAATGTGACAGAAGAAATACAAATTTGTGCATTGTTTACAACATCTCCTTGAATTAAGATAGATAGATAGATAGATAGATATATTTTTTTTTAAGACAGAGCCTCAAGCTATCCCCCTGGGTAAAGTGCCATGGCATCACAACTCATAGCAACCTCCAGCTCCTGGGCTCAAGCGAGTCTCTTGCCTCAGCCTCCCAAGTAGCTAGGACTACAGGCGCCCGCCACAACGCCTGGCCATCTTTTGGTTGCAGTCATCATTGTTGTTCGGCGGGCCCGGGCTGGGGATTCGAACCCGCCACCTTAGGTGTATGTGGCTAGCGCCCTAGCTGCCTGAGCCACAGGCGCCGAGCCGAGATATTTTCTTAAAGGTAAAAAGAAGCAACTTCAAGTACAAAGCACAAGTTGCAACTAGGACCAGTAGACAATCAGTACTAGAAGCTAGTTCTCTAGACTCTCTTACAGAACACACTATATACAAAGCTAAATGAATCTAAGGAGATCCATCCACCTACACTTCACTCTTATAAATGCTCTACAATATGACTTCCTTTCAAGTACTAATACAAAATCCTTACTCTTTTTTAATATATTTCCTTCCAGTCTTATCTCTAAGTATCATTTCACTACGTATAGTTTTAAAAGTTCATTACTGGACTTGTGTGAATGATGACCAGTACAGTGTCTTAGTGCCACTCCATTCCCCCTACCCTGTACTCATGCTCACATATTCATCCCAAGAGATAGAACTTCAAACTCAAAATTTGCAACTAGGCTCAGCGACTGTGGCTCAAGTGGCTAAGGCACCAGCACATACACCTAAGGTGGTGGGTTCGAATCCAGCCTGGGCCCACCAAAACAACAATGACGGCTGCAACCAAAAAATAGCTGGGTGATGTGGCGGGTGTCTGTGGTCCCAGCTACTTGGGAGGCTGAGGCAGGAAACTTGCTTGAGCCCAGGAGTTGGAGGTTGCTGTGAGCTGTGATGCCACGGGACACTCTACCCAGGGGGATAGCTTGAGGCTGTGTCTCAAAAAAAATAATAAATAAAAATAAAAATTTGCAACTTATACTCAAAAGCCAAGGCTCAACCCTACACAGTTTTGAGAACACTCCAACCAAGAAGCAGAAAACAAGTCCATGGACTCAAAAACCAATCCTAAAACTTACATGTCTGAGACATGTAAGAATACAGGGTGGCCATAAAGTTCATGTGCAATTTAAGTAGTTAAACAAACTTTATGGTCACCTTGTATAAAAGAAAAAAATTTACGCTGGAATTTTCCAAAGGAAAGTTTCATCAAAAATCGCCAGCTAATCTCTATTGGCATTAAAGCCTATGTATATGTTAGGCATCATGCTAAGTATCATTGAAAAGATAACTGAAATTTTTCAAGGCCAGGTACAATGGCTCACAACTGTAATTCTAGCACTATGGGAGGCCGAGGCAGGTGGACTGCTTGAACTCAGGATTTTGAGACCTAATGGGCACAATGAAGGGTATATGGCACACCTCCGAGGTAAAGAGCTCAACTACAACTTCAACAACGCAAACAATGTAACCTAATTGTTTGTACCCTCATATTAATCCAGACAAAAAAAGACCAAAAACCTTAAAATAAAAGATCTTATCAGACAGGGATATGAAGAAATATTTCTGGGAGTAACAAGGTAAGGCATTACATAAAGCTATTTTATGTATAAAACACTGAAAGTTTTCTATCATTTCTAAATGACTCATGGCTGGGCGCAGTAGCTCACGCCTGTAATTCTAGCACTCTTGTGAGGCCAAGGTGGGTGGATTGCTCAAGAGTTTGAGACTAGCCTGAGCAAAACAAGATCCCATCTCTAAAAACTGGCCAGGTGCTGTAGTGGGTCCCTGAAGTCCCAAATAGTCAGAAGGCTGAGGCAAGAGAATTACTTAAGCCCAAGATTTTGAGGCTGCTGTGAACTAAGATGCTATAGCACTCTACTGAGTGTGATGAAGTAAGACTATGTCTCAAAAAATTAAAAAATTAAATATTAAAATATGTTTATATGTTTTTCCCTTATAATATATAAGGTTAACTGGCACTACAGGCACATGCCACCATACCTGGCTAATTTTTCTTTCTGTAGAGTTGGGGGGATCTCACTTTTCCTCAGGCTAGTCTTGAATTCTTGGGCTTAAGAGTGCTACAATTACAGGCATGAGGACATTTACCTGATAAAATGGTTTTAAAAGAAAACTGACAATACTAAAGTCTAGTAAGGAATGTGAAATAACAGGAACTTTTATATATTCCTGGTGTGAAAGCAGTTATTAAGAGTGAGTTGTGTTGGCTCCGGCACCCATAGCTCAGTGGTTAGGGTGCTAGCCACATACTTCAGGGCTGGAGGGTTCGAACTCAGCTTGGGCCAGCTGAACAACAATGATAACTGCCATAAAAAAAATAGCAGGCACCTGTAGTCCCAGCTACTTGGGAGGCTGAGGCAAGAAAATTGCTTAAGACCAAGAGAGTGTGAAGTTCTTGTGAGCTGTGACACCACTGCACTCTACGCAGGACGACATACTGAGACTCTGTCTCAAAAAAAAAAAAAAAAAAAGTGAGTAGTGCCCATTTAGAGACTACCTGTAACTTCTTTTGATCTTCTCCAGTTTCTCTATTTAGAGTTCATTAATTGTAATTCTTGGACAGTGTTGATATTATATGGATGTTTGCTTTTTGATAATTTACTGAACTATATACTTCTGTATTTCAGGATATACTTCAGTGTGTCAAATTATGGTTTACAGCTGGACACAGTGGCTCACACCTATAATATTAGGCCAAGGTGGGAGGACTGTTGAGTCCAGCAGTTCAAGACTAGCCTCAGCAAGACACAGACCCTGTCTCTACAAAAAAAATAGAGAACTTAGCCAGGTAGAATGGTGTGTACCTAGAGCCCCAGAAATTTAAGAGCATGAGGCAGGAAGATCACTTAAGCCCAGGAGTTGGAGGTTGGTTGCAGCAAACTATGATGATGCTGCTACACCCTAGCCTGAGCAACAGAATGAAAGATCCTATCTCAAAAAACATAATGAAATTTTAAAAAATAAGTTAAAGTTTCAAAATCTCAATAGCTAGTTTATATTACCACGAATAAACCGTCTGAATAACTACTGTGTTTCCCCAAAAATAAGACCAAAATAAGAACTACCAAAAAAATAAGCCCTAGCAGGATTTCTATGCATTTGTTACGTATAAGCCCTACCCTGATAATAAGACCTAGTGATGCGTGTGGCTATGCAGCGTACCTGCATAGCCACGCCATGCATTTCAGCGCAGAGCAGTAAGGAAGACTGGAATACCTTTTATCTGCCACAGCTCCTTTCTCCAAGCCGTTCACACTTGCATGGGTACACGTGTGGTAACCGAGGTCACAGGCATCCTATTGTGCATGAGCAAACGGCTAAGGGAAAGGAGTTCACACATCACTAGCGCCAGCCTCACCAACAAGGTCGGCTCCCCCTGTCAGGTTACGGCCATCCTGTGCACGCTGAGGTTTCAGGAGGAGATGCTGAGGCTTCAGATGGAGACAGAGACGTAGAGACTGGAGGTCTCCACCGTGAAAGTCTCCTTAGTGAAATGAGGAGCAGGACACTCTACTTTTTTACCATACTATGTCCCCAGGGGGAAGAAGGAAAGCTGTGGCTGCTATTTTGCCCAGCACTAGTCCAGCTACAGTCTGTGGGCCTCGCTCACCCCTCCCCCACAAATACCAGGGGATAGGGGGAGAGCTTCAGCAAGCAGTCTGCCACTGAGCCCAGAGATATCATCCCAGCTCCACTGTGCAGATTGGACCAGTGCTCTCTGGATCCCAAATACGGTAAATAATTCAGCCCTTACACATTAGCTTTGCTGGCCTATCTTTGCTTTTCCTGAGTATGTGTACCCCTAGACAAGATGAGTGCAAAAAGAAAGAGCTATTGTGTTGAGTACAAGAAAGGCACTGT